AATAAAGCTGTTAGCTTTGCTGAAACAATAGCTGCAAAATTCAATAACCAAAATACTAAAAATAAAAAATCTCCAATGATTAACCAACCTGTAACTAAATCTTCTTCAATAGCTGAGCTCTACAAACCAACTAATGCTACTAAAAAGTTGCTAGTAATTAAACCACTTAAAACTAAACCTTCTTCGATAACTAAACCATATACACGAACTAGAAGCAAGTGCAAATTAACAGACTTAGCAACAGATATGTTAATTAATTTGGATAAATCAGATTAGCCTCCTTCTATTTCTCTTGATAATTAATCCCAACTAGAATAAGTATATAATTATATCGTATCATGTCTCTGTAAAATTTATCTGTTAAATTATTTTTTTTCTTTTTTGAACTCCAAGGTAGCAGTTATCTAGAAACATCAAATGACATGATTTTATCTGTTAAATTTTATTAAATACTTATTCTATATCATTATTAAAATAGTAGAGTTGTTTTTATTTTTACTTTTTATTTTTTATTCTGTATCGTTATTAAAATAGTAAATTGTTTTTTTTTGTTTTTATCGTATACTATTTGTTAAATAAAAAGAAACTTATTATTTATCATCCTTCAAACTATAAACTTTTGCAAGCAAAATTACTTGAAAAATTTATTTAATAATCACATATATTTACGCATAGTAATGCACAAAAGTATAATTTCAAAATTTAGTCTAAATTAAGACTGATTTGGGCCATAATTCAAATAATGCTCATATATATTTAAGATGTTATACATCATATCATAGTACAGCGTATATATAATTTATATTATGTAAGATTTTTAAAACATTTTAACTCCTGTTCTAATAAAGCAAATTCAATTCTATAACTTACAAATGATATAGTATTAGAATTATATAGTTTTAAAACTATATTAAGATATTTTTAAATTTATTTTGTTAATGTGATTAAAAGATCAAATATTTTTTAGTTGTGAATTTTAATAGTAAAATGATTATAATTATGAGTTTATACTATAGAAGCCCAAAATATTTACATAGAATTCTTAAATATCGTGACATAGTTTTATAGCGACATTGCCTAAGTATCATTTACAATTTACAGAATTGAATTTTCTTTATTAGTACTAGAGTTAGAATATTTTAAGTGTAAATTAAAGTAATGATACTATATCATTATTATATATATCATATATAAATTCATGTTTAAACTATTCTAACTCTCACACTAGTAAAGTGAATTCAATTCTAAATGATATCTAGGCAATGTGACTATAAAACTGTGTTGCATTATTTAAGAATTCTATGTAAATATTTTGAGCTTCTGTGGTATGACTTAATCATTTTGCTATTAAGATTCACAACTAAAAAAATATTTAATCTTTTGATTATATTAATAAAATAAATTTAAAAATATCTCAACTAGAGATGGGTTTTGTATATGCACATGATTGTAGAATTATGCATATTAATGCATATTCGTATGCATTTTATCTCATCAAGATCTCTCTTCTCTCAATCGTTTTTTTTTGTTTTGCCTTTTTTTTATCATGCAATATCATATGCATAAAACATTTTGTGCACATTAATACGCATTCATACATATGCTATTATAATATGCACATTTTCCTATCACTAATCTCAATATAGATTTAAAACTACATGATTATGATATCATTTGCGAGTTACAGAATTAACTTTGCTTTACTAGAGCGAGAGTTAAAATATTTTAAAGGTACTAATAAATTACTATGATAAAAATGATCAACAAAAGTTTAAAAATCTTATATACATAGTATAAATTACGTGTACTGCATTATAACACCTTATATATTATTACATGCAAATACAGTATTGATTCTTTCTAACTCATGCTACGATTCACATGTAAAACTTCTTAATTATCCCTTAGTTAACATTTATAATTACCACTTATAAACAAATATTTTTTATATATTATCCTATATTACTTCTAAAAATACTTATACCAAAAATAAATTATATGTATGATCTACTATTGAGTCATATAATGATCACTTTGATGAGCTTCTCAAAAAACCTTTGATATAAGAACCTTTTCGAAGAAGAAAGATTTTTTATAGATCTCTATTGAAAATTTTATAATAAGAAGTCTTTTGTATAAAAAAAATCTATGAAGACAGATTTTAACTACTGTAGACCCAACAACTTACTTGATAAGAAAAACTGATAATCATTAATATGTAACATCTATTTGGCTGAATCACTATTGATTAATTTATAACTTTATATTCAGATTCAGAGTTAGCGATAGACTCAATGAAGAACCTCAATGAAATTAATAATTTTCAGTAAAAATTATTCATTAGCATTATTGATTCTATTATTATTCTCCATTAGTTCATTACCAACTCTGGCCATTAAGATCCTGACTAAATAAATTCTACTGACTTGACTAATTTCGATCATTGAAATTTGCTTTGATTTATATAAAATAGAATATATATATATAATCATAAATAATTATCATCAAAAAAATAAATAATAATCGAAATATATAAAAGACCTTGCCTTTTGTTTTTAACTGAGTTCTTCAAAATTTATATCTCCTACAAACTCTTGCATATATAATAAACTTAACGCATTTCTGATACTTAATACAAGAATTTTGAACTCTTTAATTATAATTTTGTTAAAACTTTATTTAATACCTTATTGACTACTCAGCATATATAAATTCCTCTCATGTCATTTTACGTGCACTAGGTTCTTGACATAGAATCTTTAGAATATATATCAGATGAACAAATTATCGATCTGAACGATGTTGCTCCACATCATACTGAACAAATAAGCTTAATATTTTCTTGATAGCGTATATCTGTAGAACTACAAAAAATTATAGACGAATTTGACCAGGATATATTAATTCAATTCCTGTGCATCCCTTGCTTTATTTGTTCCAGACTCATGTACCTAGAAAAATCAAATTAGGTTCAATGAGACTCTAATATTACATATCCTATTACTATTGCATATCTGAATATTCTATTAATTACTAATTCTAACCGTATTGCAGTATATTCATCGTGCAAAGCAAATCCAAATTGTAATTATCCATTGTACCTTCACCAAATTCTATCTGAGATTAATTCTGTACTGTTAGAGAAATGCAAATACTTGTCACCTATCTTTCTTCATTGTTCTTTAGGACGTATACCTGGTGCTAGTTCCTTCTCTGAATATAGAATATTAGTAGACACTGTTAATTACTCCCAAAATCTTCATTTGTTGAGCCTTTATTCAGGAATACTAGATGTATACCTATCTACACCAACATCTGATCACTCTACACTTCCACCTTGGTTTGATAACTCTTTATCAAGTACCATTAATTGGCTTAGAGAAAATAATTCTTATTTACGTGAATATTCGCAGATGATTCTGAACGATATTAATCAATTTCCCTCTGCTATTCATTTATCCATTGATGAAAATATACCTCCGTTTCAACATGGTGACATAGTAGTTCCTCACCAAAATTTTCCTGCTAAAATTCATGATGAAGATACCCATTATAATCATCTAATGGCAGAATTTATATCAAATACTAATACAACCAGAATTCCAATTGCTCTTATTGATTCTAATCTTAAACCATTACTTTTTCCAAACTTATATCCAGATGGACATAGTCACTATTGTGAAATGAGAGATAATTTAGAAAATATATAATGATGATATGACACATTTGGAAAATATATTAAGCATCATTTACTTTCCAAAGATTCTAGATTCAGATTGCATCACTACTGGCCTGCATGGGTATATCTTCAATTAGAAAAATATAGAAATTTTCAAAATACTCAATGATTAGTTCGTCAATTAACAGCTGATGGAGCATATTGTAGACGAACTACAATTGAAATTATTGAAAGAAGTACGTATACCAATAGCTAGCATTATAATGAAACTAAAATGACTCTAATTCCTATATTCATCTGTACTAAAGATAGTTATTTTCAAAAAAAAATATACATTTAAATACAATGATTTATGAATTTGGTCTTCCAACTATATTTGTTACACTATCAATAGCTGAAGGATCATAGTTTTACCTTCATGATATACTTACTAATACTGATAACAATAACCAGTTACCAACAAACAGACTATTACATATGACACTCCATATCATCCAGGTAGGTGCATGATATGGAACTACCTACTAGTCTTCAGGTGTTAGGCACTTGTATGTATAT